GGGTACAAGCTTCTTCTAATAAACTATAGGTTATTTTAAGTGCTCTCTCTTTTTACTTAGTACAAGATACCTTGTTTTTTATACTAGATTTGGAGATAATTGTTGATTTTGGTTTTGACCAATTAAAAATTACAGATCAGCGAAAAGAGTTTTTTTTAATCTTGTTATTATTAAAAACTTTAAAGTGTTATTACTTTTTTAAAACAAGTTAAATCAAAAAACCCTCTGACAAATTAATAAGTTTTTAGATAAACTACATTTCTGTCAGAGGATTTTTTTTAATTCCTTGTTTTGAAAAAGTTATATAGGACTAAAGTTTATATGAATTCAAAAAATTGGTGTTTAATATAAAAAAAAGAAAAACATATATATATTTTTAACCAATCAGAATCAATTACACAAAAATTAGCCAATCAGAATTGATTATATAAACATCAAAAAATTGGCGCCTCTATGTATATATTGGATGTCTTTTACTGTCCCGTACTGTATTAAATAGTAAATAGGCTCAAATAGAGGTGTGATTATAAAAAGGTTTTTATATTATGTGATTAAATGGGAGGTGATTATAATGAGGTAAGACTGTAAATCATATGATATCATATGATTTGCAGTGATTACTATTAAAAATGATCTACGTTCACCCTACCCTTAAAGATCCGGATCCGGTCCGAAGAACGAATCGGATCCAAAACTTGGATCCGGTCCGGTACTTCTAAACATTTGACCAATCAGAAAAGCTAGCTTATAACTTTGAATCGGACCGGGCGGATCTCAATAGGGTCCGAACCCGGTCCGTTCACGGATCCTGGCGGGCGGACCGGATCTTTTGTGGAACACTACTTACTCTCACTTCAACACTAACCCTAATGTTAAGGTTATTACTTCAAATCTTTCGTTTACTCGATTGTTTTGCTTCACGTTACACCTGATCCCGAAATCTGATTGATTGATGCGTTGTTCTTGAGATAGTGAAACTTGCTTTATCTTTTTTTTCCTTTAACAACCGACACCCATTTAGTCTATTTAATCGACATCGCACGGGTGACGATTTACTATTAATATATATCAGCAACTAATAAAATCTAAAAAGTTATACTGCAAAATTCTATTAAGATAACAGTACTTGTTCCTTAAGTAAAAAAATGTTCCCGGGTTAATTTTGAATTAGTTAAAGTCAATTTGGTTCCTTTTTTTTTTAGCACCTAGCCCAAATGTTAAAAATTTAGTTCTGCAGAAATTAATCATATAATTCTATGCATTTTATTATATATTATATTGTTTATTATTTGCTACAGTCTCCTCCCATTATAGTCACGTAAATTTTCTACTACGTCAGTCACAATTCGTGCAATAATAATGATAAGTCTGACTGGACAATGTGACTATTACAGGAGGCAGACCATTTCCCGGTAATCATTTCACCAACAATATTTACCAATTATATATAGCATTAGGGTAACTAAACATTTGTCGGTGAAATGATTGTCAGTGAGATGGTCTTCAAAAAAACACAAAATTGAAACAATTGCTTTTACTAGATGTTATTTAAAATTTCGATAATTTTAGAATATTCATCATACTGATTGTCGTGAACTTTGATCAATAAGGCGTGTAAAACACATGAACTTTCATCAAAGCAAACATATTGCATTTCATCTGATGAAATCTTTCCCTTGTATAACTTATGAATATTGGTGTTTCCAAGCAAGCTTGTCGAATACGTGCCTTCTCCCTCCTGAGTATCAATCGAATCTGACTTTTGTCGCACCATTAAAATTGTTTGAAAGTATTTGCCTTCCCAACTGGTCATTGGCGCATACAGCTGTGAGTACAACGGAATTTTTGATGTGTAAATTCCGGTACCATAATTACTGCCGTTTACTAATTTGATTACCTTATCTCCAGCGAGGGATCCGGGCTTTTTTAGACCATATTGAAGGATACTTTTAATGTTCTTCGGATCAGTTCCATGATAACTGTATGTCCAGTTATAATTATAAAATAAGTGAGACCCTTGCTTTAATACGAATTTCGAACATTCGGACGGTCTCAAGTATCTATGCCCACCGCGATTTTCGAGATGACAATAATTAGAGAGATAATAACAATTGTCTTCATGATTAAACAATGAATCATCAAGCTGCAAATATTCTTTAATAAATTTATATGACACCGTATAATCAGATTTTCATTCGAGTGACCTTGATCCGTATAAGTATCCTTCATTATATGTCATTTTATGTTAAGTTTTGGTGTTTTTAATAGCAAAGGTCAATGAGAAAATCGCGGCATTTTATAGAGGATTTTTCATAATAAATAACTTTTGGAAATACTATTCATTGAATTAGCTTATCATTTGTTTTTTGCATCAATATTTCTGATAAATTAAAATATTTCGCGCTTAGTTTAAAGGCGCAAACATGCGACAATCAAATGATCCTGTACGTAAACTTGTCGAAGTGTTAGCGGAGGGCTCTGTGCTATGAAGAAACATAATTTAGAAGTTTTTGTCTACACACAGTTATAAGTTCTGGATACTATACTTGCATCAAATGGTGCTTCATGTGATTACATTTATCAGAATTGTGCAGATTAGCCTAAACTATATCAATATCGATATAGCTTAATCTTACCATGGATTTAAGACCTGAGCATATCATCTAGCTAAAAAAAAAAAATTCTATTATATTAGAGATACGTTTCGCTATCAAGGTTTAAATCACAGTAATCCAAATTTCGCAAGGAAAACCTTTTGTTAGTTCGCAGAAGGTAATAATAATTAGTGTTCCGCACGGACGGTTCCGGGCGGGTTTTTTAAAGATCCGAACCAGAACCGAAAAAATCGGTCGAGTCCGGGTAATACCCGAGAAGTACTTATACGAATTCCGCATATAATTTTATTTATTTGTTGCAGGTCGAATGTCAGACACCGACAGGACCAGCACGAGAGACCCTAAATGCAGCTAATCAACGTGCGTAATTTGATTTCAACGGGAGATCCGGAATCTGTGGGGTTTATTTCGCGGGTCTTCGGTTCTGTTTGCTGAACACTAGTAATAATGCAGTGTTTACATTTTAACCTATACCAAATTTCATATGATCAAGGAGGTCATAATTAGGGTTCTGCAAATGCCCATGCCGGGCATATTGGGCATCATGCCTGGCACTAATGCTTGTGAGGTTACCCGTGCCCATGGGCACAAAAGTTTTAGGCATTTTGTAGGCACACATGTAATGTTTTAGGCACCTTTGAAGCAGGCA